GCCTCTCGGGGCTGTTTGCAAGGATAAAAGAAGATGTAGCTAAGATATGCAGCCCAAACAGGACAGGAGCCTTCTTTACATAAAAGGGCTCACATACAGCCTAGCATGTAGTGCTTGAAACAGAAAATCCTTGTTAACTGAGTTAACTTTCAAAGCCTTGCTATTCACACTCTTGTGGTAGTGCAATGGCGGTAGGCACTACTGCACCTCTCTCTGCAAGCTCACACGGGCTTTCCCCTGGGTGCTTCTCCACACTCATCTCTGCTTGTGAAATCACCTGTCCAGAAGATAGCCAAACGGTTTGCATACTTTCTTAGGCTGTTCCCACTTTGCTTAGCAACATGGAGTTGTTTAAATGGTCCACATGTGGCTCCAACATCGGAAAGCGTACTGTGTCCTCTTTTACAACTGGGAATCTCCCATAGTTTTATGACCTATATTAAGAGTAGATTTTTAAAAAATGGATAAAAAAAGTAACATTTTATAGGATACAGAATGGCAATAATGTAAGAGAGTGAAATAAAATATTACAGAAGTGGAGGATGAAATCTTTGTATGATGATTAGAGAATTTGGCCTGTAGAACGTGTCATTTAAAAGCAGTAGATTTCTAAGTGTGAAAATAGTGCTTTTCCAGATAAGGAGGAGACACGGGGAGAAGGGCTAAATTAGAGCAAAGGTGAAATTGAAGTGGAATAAAGAGAAGACGTGTGGAAAGGCAAGTTAGGTTGGGCACAGGGTGGTGGATGCTGGAATGCCAGGCTTAGAATTTAGAACTCTTTGAAAGCTCTTGGGAGCCATGGAAGGTTTTCTAATATGCTGTTTGTCGGTACTTAGATGTGTGCCTGGAGAAGGTTAATCAGGCAGTAATATAGAGGATGGGCTTTAGTAGGGGAAAACTGCCAGCAACATGAAGACCAGTTACATAGCCAAAGCAGGCATGCCCAAGTGAAAGCTAATGAGTGTTGAAGTGGGATAGGAGGACTGGGGAGGAGAGAATTCATAGAGGTGAGAGCTTGCACCTCAATCAATTGGTTTGAAGTTTATTGGAAGTAAGGAACATGGGATAAGGGGCATTTTTTTTTTTTCAATGGAACTAAGGTTTCAGACCAAAAGATCTTGAAATATCAAAGAAAGAACCAAGGGAAAGGATTCATTTACATGGGAAGCTAGGAGCTTGATCTGAAAATAGGGAATACATGGTGCTAAAGTTCTTGTAATTAATAATGGAAGACAGGGCCCAGCGTTGTGGCCTAGTGGCTAAAGTCCTTGCTTTGAACATGCCGGAATCCCACATGGGTGCCGGTCCTAATCCCGGCAGCTCCACTTCCCATCCAGCTCCCTGCCTGTGGCTTGGGAAAGCAGTCAAGGATGGCCCAAAGCCTTGGGACCCGGTACCTGCATGGGAGACCTCGAGGAGGTTCCTGGCTCCTGGCTTCACATTGGCGCAGCACCGTTGCGGTCACTTGGGGAGTGAATCTTTGGATGGAGGATCTTCCTCTCTGTCTCTCCTCTTCTCTGTATATCTGCCTTTCCAATAACAATAAAATAAATCTTTAAAAAAAAATAATGGAAGACAAGTGGTAAAAAGTACATAGTGAAAACACTTTGGAATCATTCACAGGGTGTGGGGAGCGGGGATAAGCTTGTCTCCAGGGAGAGCAGACACCGCAAACTTGAGGCTTATGTGGCTCACCAGCATACTTGGGGTGTTTTAAAAAATTAAGACAATATTTTTAAAAAGATTTATTTATTTTTATTTGAAGGCAGATTTACAGAGAGAGAGAGAGTAAGAGACAGAAAGAGAAATAGCTTCCATCTACTGGTTCACTGGCTCAAGTGACCGCAGTGGCCCGAGCTGAGCTGATCTGAAGCCAGGTACCAGGAGCTTCTGCTAGATCTCCCATGTGGGTGCAGGGGCCTTAGGCCTTGAACCATGCCCTAGTGCTTTCCCAGGCCACATGCAGGGTGCTAGGTCGGAAGTGAAACAGCTGGGATGTGAACTGATGCCCATATGGGGTACTGGAGCTTGAAGGTAGAGAATTAACCTGTTGTTGAACCACGTCTCTAGCTCCCAAACCAATATTTTAAAATCAGGAGATTGTACTTCAAATAGAGATTGTTGGCTTCTCTTTAATAAAAAAAAAATGTGGCAAATTGCAAACTCATATTCCCACATCACAACAGCAGCTAGAGGTGACTAGGGGTTGTCCCCCATTACGGCCTGGATGAATTCTGGAATTCACTGCAGTCCCTGCTATCTCCTGTCATCTCCTAATATTTAAAACTTGCAGTCAACTGCTAACTTCCTAGAGATAAAAAGTAAATTTATGGCTCCCCAAAGTTGAATATGGATAGAAAATGGGGTGATGGGGCCAGGTGGTTATGGGGTACAGGATTTAGAGGTCATTGAGGAACCAATAAAATGTTCTGGTGGTTAAGAGGTACAAAGTTTGGGAAATGTTAAGGAGACTAATGAAATGTTCTGAAGTTATTTGTGGTGATGGTTGGATAACTTCTGTGAATGAAGTAAAAGCCATTGAAATGTATACTTTAAATGAGTGAATTTTATGATATGTGAGTTGTTTCAGTGTAACTGTTTTCAAGAATGCAAACATCGTTTGCTAACTGTCCTTGCAGTACTGCTTTTCTTACAGCAGAAAATATTTCTGTATATGTGTCTCAGCCAAAAAGAGACAAAAATGAAGGTAGACTGAGAGGATTATACATTGAAAGAAAAATGGAAGGGCCAGCTTTGTGGCATAGCGGTGTAATGGCACCAGTTCACATCCTAACTGCTCCATTTCCAGTCCATCTCCCTGTTAACGACCTAGGGAGAGTATCAGAGGATGGTCTAAGTGTTTGGGCTCCTGCCCCCATATGGGAAACCCAGATGAAGCTCCTGGCTCTGGAGTCCAGCCTGGCTCAGCCTGTCTGTGCCGGCTATCTGGGGAGTAAACTAGTAAGTGAAAGATCTCTCCCTCTCTCCCTTTCTCTGTTTCCCTCTCTTCTTCTCTCTCTTTCCCTCTCTCCACTTCTCCCTCTTTCCCTTTCTCCAAACCCTGCTTCTTCCCTCACTCTGTAGCTCTGACTTCCAGTACATAAATCAATCTTTACAATGGAAGCAAACACATCTCTTCTATCTATTGCTGTCTAGTACCTGGCTTCTTACTACTGTGCATTGCCTCCCTAGCTGCTGGCTAGGTCCACCCACCTCCCAGAGGTCCACCCACAAGCACAGAGAGAGTGCACAAAGATGGAGGAGGGAAGAGGAATAATTAATGTGTAAGTGGAGAAGCAGAAGAGGCCAATAGGGTGGTTGCCAAGGAAGGGGGAAGCTTTATCAACTGCTGACAAGAGGTCAAGGAGGATGAGGACAGAGGGGTCAGGAGGTCACAGTAAACCATTCAGTGAGAGGGCTTAGGGAGATGATGCCAATGAGAGATGCATAAACAGGTGACGGGGTGCCCTGAATGCATTGTTCAGGAGTTAATATTTTATCCTCAGGCGTGGAGGACTGTTGAAGGATTTTCAGTAGAGGAATGATGTGATCAGAGCAGCAATATAGCTGATTTGTTTTCTCAATAATTTGGGCATATTTTGAATTGTGTGCGTGGTGAACCAAGGTTAATCCAAATTTTGTTCTTCCTGCACTCAATTCTGCTTCAATCTGAAGCCCTAACCATGTTGAGGGTCCAGTTTTGTTTTGTTTTGCTTTTTATTAACATCTAACTCACTCCTGTACCTGCTTGAGTTAGAGAAAACACATATGGTTTGAGGCAACCCAAGAATTTCCCACTGTTATATTTGGGGTTGGATATTTGTTGGGAAGGTTTTCTGTTCATTGGAAAATGTTAAGTGATGTCCCTGCCTACTAGATTCCAGGAGGACTCTCAGTTAGATATTGACAAGAAAATGACCTCTAGGCTGGGAACTACTGAGCCACAGTGATACACAGTAGCATCTGTGTACAGAAGCTTAAGCTATGTGAGTCAGTGGTCCAGCTTGAAAGATGTCCCATCAATTCCTACAAAGCACTGAAGGAGCTGTAAATGAGAAACTCAAGACTTGATTGGTTTTAGCTAGGACAATTGACTTTAGCTGATCCACTCTGATTTTCCTTTTTTTAAAGAGATGACATCTGGACTCTACAAGGCAGCATAAATCCAACTGTGTCCCCTGAAGCCTGGAATTCCTGCTATGACCAAAGTCAGAGAGGGTACAGAATTTCTGAGGAGACCTCAGGATGTCCTTACTGTGGTGGTGGTAGCTGGCCTTCCAAGTGGCTTCCTGGAGGCTTTGCCTTCCCTAAGGTGAATGAAGAGGAGCAAGGAGCAATAGTGGTTTTCTCCTGCTGATGTCAATAGGCCCCAGGAAGCCTGACTCATAGGAAACAGTAGCTCAAGTTTAAGTTGGAGTTAACCAGGAACTCAGAGAAAGGATCCTTTTCTGTATCGAAGCCTTAGAAAGAGTTGGAGCATTTTTCCTGGAACAGGGATGTCTGAAGTGGACTAGACAGTTCATGTTGAGATCTTCCAGATTTCTCTTTTGGGGGTGTGTGCATATGGGAGATAGGAAGGCAAAAGTGTTTTTAGATATATATATATGTCCATTTTGATATCAGTAAAAGAATCTTTAAATTACGAGTGAATATCAAGTGAATAAAATCTAACAACTCTATCAAATGTTTTCATATAAACAGCTGTTAATATGTGGAATAATGTGATGCCTGTCTGTTATGAATGTTGAATGCCTCGATTCGTCATTAGCCATGGTTCCAAGCTGGCTGGCAATGCCACCTCTTATTGATCTGTGACTCCGTTACTTGGCCCCCATGGTGGTTACTTTTACTGAGGCAGAGGGAAACCCATGCTAGTTTTTATTTGGAATCTCATGCTCCATAATGCCTCTCCTTCCTCCCTAATTCATCCACTTCCAGGGGAATGCGCTGAGTCCTCTCGTATCCATGAATGATGACTTTGTTCTGTGATCTGATTCCAGGCACGTCTGGATCCAGCTGTGTGGCAGCTGCCCTAGGAAACACCTGGAGTCACAGTGTGAACACTCGGCTGATTCTCCAGTGCCTTGACTCCAAGAGAAGGCAGGTGAGTGTACAGCGATCCGAGTTCTTATGGGGGCAGTAGTCACACTGTCTGTCCAGGGCCAGCTCGTGCAAAGGGGCATCCCTTCTTGCCCCAGAGGCAGCTGGAATTACGTGAGGGACAAGCCATGCAAAGGGGAAAAGAAAACAAATGCCATAGTTAGCAAGTAATCAATGACCACAACTCTAGAGATCTCATATTCTCATTTCTAAATGATGGTTTTGCTTTGATGATTTTTGTCTTTTTGGTGGGGGTTGGGGCTGCATAATTTGTGTGTAAATCAAATAGTGATCCTGCTGTTTTTGAAGGTGTGTGTCAAACAGAGCCTGCTAAGTTAAATAGACTATGCCCCAGAACCTGGGTGCTTTTGTACACTGCATGGCCAGTAGTTTAAAGGACGGGGTGTGCTAGAGAGATTCCTGAGAAGCAAGAGTGCCTCTCAGAGATTCCTATTTGTGCTTTCTATTGTGGCCTCAAACGAGACTGCCACCTCCTTCTGGAAGGGTTGACTTCCTACTGCTTTCCTGCCTCTCTTCCCAGGTTCCAAAGACTGACTTCTTTGGTAAAACAGATCATCACCAGGAGAGTGATTGGTCCTAGTGTCTAACAGCTTGATCCTGTTTTGTTTTTTGCTTTTGGTTTGTTGGAGTTTAGGGGGAGATTGTTTCTGTTTTTTGGCCAGATCCCATCACAAGCTCTCCTGCAAGCAACAGGAGGAAGAAGATAGAGTGATTATTCAATTTTTTGTTTGTTTTAGAATGGACAGAATCAATCCAGATCATTAACGAGAAGGCGCAAGGCACCACATGGTGGTCCTTTCTGCAGGAGATAGCAGGGAGGCTGTGGCTGTTTTTCCCTGTGCTGACTCTCCTTTAAGGAGGCAGGAAACATCACAGACAGGAGCCTTCGCCTGTTGGCAGACACACCTAGCCCAGTGCCCTTCGTGGCAGCCCAGAGGCTCTTCTTCTTGGCTGGCCTGGGCCTGTGCTGATAACATTCCAGCCTGGGGATGGAGCTGGCTGTGTGTGATAGGAGGGAACTGGCAGCTCCCCTTCAGGGAAGCATTCCTGGGTCGTCAGGCCCCAGCGTGCTCATCTCCTCCGTGCTGACTTCACCATCATGCTTTGGCCTTGGTAGCTAGCCATCCCTCCTCATTTCAGTGGAACATGACCAGGAATATTCCTGGAGAACCTCATGACTTTGGGTTAGTACTCTGGGTAGTAAATCACACTAAATAAACAGGCTATCTTTAAGGACTGCCATGAACTCCTATCTGAACTGCCTTAGAGGAAGCCACGGTCCTGCTAAAGCAGTATCGATTCAAGCAGCTTCATGCCATGGTTGAACTTCTCCTTGAAAACTTACATTTAATCACTGTTTTCGATTTCAGATAGTGTTATTACCAAAATACATTGATTTTGTAATTTGTTCTGTCATACGTACTAGTTTAGGCTTCCAGAACCTACTGTTACTAACTCCAATTAGAATTTATAAGTAAATAAAAGAGTTAGAGCCACATTTTCTTTTTAAAATAGAAATGATACAGTTGTTTACCTTCTGCTGCTGTCAATAAAATGTGGCTGGAAGGGTATGTGTATTACCCCATGTCTCTTGGGTGACTGGAGGCTTTCAGTGGGTCTCGGCTAAGAAGGTCACCTACAGGCAGGAGTGGAGTGGGGATGGACCAGTGGCAGTCTATCAGCTCATATCCTATCAGACGGGTCAGTGGTGCTACGTTGACCCACAGGGGACAACTCGCTAACTAGCACTACTCATCAATCAGAAGTAGGCTGAGTCCTGTTTCCAAACAACAATCAGAAGTCAGCATAAACCATGATCTGTGGTAACATGGCAAGCCCAGGCCGAAGAGCAAATGATGAAGTATCTATAAACATGTGTGTGCCTTTGGGGACCAATAGTTGAGTTGGTCGCCCCGTCACTAGGATCAGGTTTGATTTAGAAGACCTGTCTATTGGATGGCTTGGTCTTACCTCAGCAGCAGGTGCTGTTAGTGAGTTACTGAGTCTTTCCTGGGGTCCTGTTTCCTGAGTGGGTGTAAGAACCAGATGAGGACAAGCTTTTTGGGGGGATATTTGCACAAAGCAATTCTATAAAGCTAATCTTTCCTTATGCCAATTAACACTTCATCATCATCATCATTATTATTCTTATTACAAAGAGCATATCTGAATCCTTGTAGGATAGTTAGATCTCTGGAATATCAGGCACTGGAAGGAGATACCAAGTTGGTTTTCTTTTTTTTTTTTCCCTCGTTATTGTGTTATTTTTGGAGGGGGAGATTTGGGTAGGCGGGTTTCACAGAGCAAGCAGAAGCCACTATTCCAAGGGATCAAGGTTATGGAATGAGGATTACATTTTATCCTGTTTCCATGACATTGAGCCCTCCACCAGGGCTCTTGAATGTGAGGCTTAGTCTGAGGTCACACGGCTGGGAGGGGTCGGTCAAGCCGAGCAGATCTTTGAGCTGATTAACCCCAAGCGCTGGATTGTATTGTCGGAGGGAAGACGTCCTCCCTGGCTCATTATTTTCTTTACACCCTGGAAAGTTTGTAAAATTATATAACTAAGAAAGAAATCTCCTTATCAGGGCACAAGCCAAGTTCATTCCCTTGTTTATTCTGCTTCAGTGTTTGCAGAAACCCTCTTAGGAAGCTGGGAAACATTTTCTTTTGGGCTAACTTAGCATTTTTCCCATTTGACTTCTATTTGTTCGGTTCCTGCTTTGCTTCAATTGTGCCCCACCCTTTTTGCTACATGTTTGATTCTTACCTAAGGTATGGCCTCAGGAGAGAGGGAGAATGGGGCTGCTACATGAGTGCTGGTGTTGCTGCTGCTGTTTTTAAATCATCAGAAGGATATTTTGCTCTACCACGGCCACAGCTTGAGGCTGCAAAAAAGTGGAAAACATAGTTCTAACCTCAAGTCCTCTGGTCTAGGATGGAAGTGTGTGTGTGTGTGTGTGTGTGTGTGTGTAAGGCTGCCTATACACACATCTGTGTCTGTGTGTGCTGTGTAGTTATATCAGAGTAGTTCCAAAAAAACTGAATTAAAAATGAAGCATATTTCAGTAAAAGCTAAACTTTGCAATCCTTGTTTAGCTTTTAAAATAATATTCATTTTCTATGAACTCAAAAAAAAGAAGACTTATTTATTTGAAACTTTTATTTGAGAGAGATCTTCCATTCACTGGTTAGTTCCCTAAGTAGCTGCACCAGCTAGATTTGGACCAGGAAAAGCCAGGAACTAGGAACTCCATTCAGGCCTCCTACATGGGTGGCAGGGGCACAGGTACGTGGACCATCCTCCACTGCTTTCCCAGGTGCATTAGCAGGAAACTGGATCAGAAGCAGAGCAGCCTGAACTCAATTCCGCTGATAGGGGATACTGACACTGCAGGTGGCAGCTTAACGCACTGCACCACAACACTGACCCCTCCATGAGCTCTTTGAAGACCACCTGTGCACACACAAACAGTATGGATGACTACTAGATGGCATTATCATTAAGCAAAGTTTGAGTTACTATTTAATAAGTAGTTAAAACAACTGATTTGAATCCAAAGGAAGGTAAAGTCATCCAACATGCAACAAGCCCTTTCAGGGGAAACTCTCACTGTAACTCAGCGGTTCTCAGCTGGCTGTGCTTCATCACAGGAGCATTGAGGACGCATGTTGACAGGGTGCCACGCCCCACCAAGAAACTCAAAACCTTGGTAGGGATGAGGCAGGTGATGGTAACGTGCAAGCATTGGCATTTATTTGTAAAACTGCCTCAGCTGATTCGACAGCGTAGCCCAGGTCAGGAAGCTCTCTGCCCTGGGGCTGGCAATGTGGTTCAGCTGCCGCCTGCCATGCCAGCATCCCATCTCTCTCCCCGCCGCCCCCTTTTTTTTAAACAAAAAGGACCTCTGCCTCAAATAATAGATGGAGTGAGTGTCATTTGAGAGGGCAGACCCTGTGGTGGGGACGAGTAGCAGCGTGAGGCTGGCGCAGGCTGGGAGGTGGCCCTCCCACAACAACACAAGGTCCACACACTCAGTGACAAACCTTAAACACTTCTTTGCTGGTGTGCAAGATGCTGGAGGCTCAGGGCAGCTCCGATGGCAAAGCAGCTTCCGCTGCTGCTTGGGACTCCTACATGCCACAACAGAGTGCCTGGGATTCCATGTGACCTCAGCTCTGACCCCGCTTTCTGCTAATATGCCTGATGGGCTGCAAATGATGAATTCAATCCTTAAGTCCTTGCGGACTCATGTGGGAGACCAGGACAGAGTTCTTGGCTCCTGGCTTCAGACTGGCTCGGTCCCAGCTGTTCTGGACTCTTGGGGAATTCTCTCTCTCTCTCTCTCTCTTTGTCTCTTCCTTTCAAATAATTTTTAAAAGATGTTAGAAACTTAAAAGATGATTAAGAGAAAGTTGGTATGCCCTAATTTTCACAATCTACTCGGGGAAACAGATAAATCTGTGAAGAGTGTGTGCTGTTACAGCATCATGAATTAAGTCAGCAGAGAGGAGCTGGAACCTCCCACCCAACCCCAGCTCACTCCCACTTGCAAAAAGAAGGTTCTGGAGCAATCAATAAGGCAGATGCTAGCAGAGTGGACTGGCTGGGTCCTTCAACAGCAAAACTCTAACTGTAACCAGGCACCTTGTAATGAGGGATTTGTAGCAGTTACATTTGAAAGAATGATGGGAAAACACGATGAAACATTCATTCTCTTTCTCATCAAATTCTCATGAAGTTTGATCCCACACACCCCATATGGGATTATATAAAATTTCAAGTGCCCTAGAAGGAGTCATGCAGTAAATTAATCCTAAGTCTCACACCCCCTTGATGAAATAAATATTATGACTCTCTTATTTCAACAAGTGGGAAAGAAGTGACTTTTTCATATAGGAGGTTTATTTAAGTGGACTTTATAATAATATTTTCATCTTCTATCTAGAGGGCATCATAAAGTTACAGAACATTTGAAGGAT